CCCCCCCCCCCCCCCCCCCCACCCCTCCCCCTAAAAAGCTGTAAACCTGAAGGTCAGACATAGAACAATGCAGCTAAGTGATAAGGCCATTCAGGTGACTTTCTGCCAATATGGGCGACGCAAAGGCCAACAGATTACTCACAGGCACAGGCTGGTTATGCCTGGAACGATACACACATGTGCTATGATGCAGCGGAGGTGTAGAGTCAAATGAATAGTGATTAAAGGTGATTTGAGGCCTCCGTGTCCTGCAGTGATTCTTCGTAGCAGGCTTCAGAAACACAGAGGCAGCATGGCCATGACTGTGCTGCCGTTACCTTGGAGACAGCAGTTGCAAAGAAGACTGTAAGTCATCACAGGTTACAAAATGACACCCAGGGGGAAGGCCCGAGTGTGTGCGTGGATTTCACCGGGAACCAACACTAACGATGAGCCATTTAGCGTCCTTAACACAGTACTGTAAGCTGTATGAGCGCTTATAAATAAAAACAGGAACATGCTAGATTCTCACACACTGCTGTTAGATGACAAGTGGTTACTGTAGTCCACGCCCATGTGCAGTAGGCACAGCATCGGAAAGCATGATTATTTAGATATAAACCAATACCAACAACAGAAAGTGTCAAACCAGAATCCTGAAGGCTTTTCACCACAACCACTTATGCAGATTCTGTTATGAAAACCAAATACACTGAAGTGTTAAATTGAAATGTGGTGTTGGTATAAAAGCTCTGCTCACTTTCCGATCAGCAGGCTGTTAATTATGCAAAACCTTTGATTTAATTTGTTGTTTTACATCTGTATTTTTTTTTTATCCATTTCTAATTCGGATTGGTTTAGTTCTACATCTTATTGACAGTATTTATTTATTTTTTACACTGCGACAAAAGTGTCAAATTCAAGACCCTAAAAAAGAATTGTGTTAATGAGCAGGAAACAAAAGTAGCTGTAAGTATTTTCCTGCTTGCTGTCCTCAACGTGATAGTGTCATAGTGTGATAATTAACATGATCCCTCATATTAATGATTTAATTTCAAGCTAAACTTACCCTTCTTATCACTGTAGCTAAAACCTTCAGGGGTTGTGACACCTTTCTGTCACGTCCACTTTAGAGTCGCAGCAGCCAACAATTCCCTGCAAAATTATTATTTTTTTATACTTATAATATTGACCTTTTCATTGTCTGTTACTGTGATAATTAAAGAACTGCTTTAAATTGGCTGATATTTTATAGGAATGGTGTTGGCAAATACAATAGCAACAGTAGTAAAGTAGCAGTAAAGTAGTGCTGTATTGCTTTAATTTGTGAGATAAAGGTTTGCATTTTTGTAATGGCAACAGAGTAAAGTTCTTAGATACAGATACATATTTACACTGTTAGTTACATTTAATAATCTGTGGGTTTGATGATGATTTTTTTTTTGTTAAATTATTATACAATTAATTATTAAATCAACTTCTACGGCTTTATCATAGAACAGTCTGCAGGTCAGAATTCATCAATTATAAATATTATTGATGCCCAAAAAATGCAGGAAATAAAGTGTGTACAGACGCATATCTGCTATCCCCAGTATACCTCTGTGTTTGTACAGGTTTACTGTACATTTCTGCAAAAGAGAAGAGAAAACCTTTGGCTTGCCATAAACATGTGCGTCTCAAAGGTTCGGGCAAATGTAGGGTTTCTTATTATACACGTGCATATAGGGCTGAGAGCCACTGTGTGCAGGTCAGCTCTAATCACATTTCATTTCAGAGAAACTAAATTTGTCATTGAAAAAGTATGGCTGAGCTTCTTACTTGAGGTCATTTGCAGTAAAGGTAAAATGTTGGCAGATATGCTCCATTAAATCCACAATTCAGTAGATAAACTCCTACGCTTATCCTTTCAGCTTGTCTCTTTGCCTGTGGCCTGGATCTGAGGGCTGCTCTGCTGCCTCGTCTCTCTACACAAAAGAGCACCTGGCCATGCACATAATCCTCTCAGACCCCCTATAGAGCCTCCAGCTCTGGATCTCCCCCTGGAGGCGGCGGCTAAATGCTGAAAACTTCTAGCATCTGGACTGTCCTAACAAAATGCTAATGACAAGCACAATGAGTGCGGAGATTTCAATTGTAAAGCTGCCCAGGGGTCTGGGGAGTGGGGTTATTATTGTTTATTTATTTATTATATTTTGAATAGTATGTTAATATATTCCGTACAATTTTTTTTTCGTGATGTGCAGGGATTTTTGTGGGAAGCGAGCGATGAGGCAGAGCAGAGAGGTTTAGAGAGGGAATAAGTGGAGGTGGTGTTGAAGAATCTTCCCCAAAGCCACAGCATTTGTACTGCTTTGTAAATATCCAAATCAGTCAGTGTATACACACACACACACACACACACACACACACACACACACACCATGAAGTTTATAAAGTCCCTCGGACCCCCTGTAGTCACTCAAGCCAAGTTTGTCCTGTTTGTCCAACGTTGAACAAAAAGAGGAGCCTCCATGGAACAGGGCACTGAACTTCAGTCAACAACTGACTCAAACATGAAAGAACAAGTAACAAAGCCAGGGATTTATTATTGATTTGCAAAATTATATTGGAAAAGCCATCCAATTATTCTAAATATTGAGTAAAACTGCAAACAAATTCACATCCAGAAATTTTAGTAAACTTTGATTCAGTCCAACTACGATAAAAGGACCAACATTATCCAATTTCTGAATATAATCAAACCCAACGAAGCCAGTAATTATTCAAACTAGTCTCTGGTAACAGTGTGAGTTCTTCACTGGTCCATCTGCAGCCCAGGTCTACTATTCAAACTGTCTGGGACATTAAAAAGAACAGAATACAGAATGTTTATAACTTCACAGCCTCATTCATACAAATACAACCTCAGCTTTTAAAGAGCTTTTGCAGATTTGTATCATCTACTCTGGGAGTCTGGAATCAATCCCACGACCCTATGCTAATTAGGAGAGTCAAAATTAATGTGTTACCCACAATAACTAATTTGTAACGTGTAACATACAGGCAGAATCATTGTATTTCCAACAACAACAGACAACTGTAAAATGGATTGTGAGGGTCTGTAGACCATTAACTTTACCAAAGTAACATTCAACGTGTTGTAAAAGCCACTGTCAAGATGCACAAAAACGACAAACTCTATGAAGCTAAAAAAAAAAAAAAGAGTCATGATTAATCATGATTAGTCCTTAGCTAGGGTTTAATCAGCTTAAATATATTTCAATCGTTCCTCAGCCCTAGTTGTAGGAAAAGTGCCCTCCTTACTGAGCCACAGCCACACCTAGAGAAAAGTTTGTTCTCCGTCCTTTTGCCTGATAGATTAAGACTCAAGTGAGATTAAAGTTAGATTTTCTTCAGTCTTCCCAGTAGATTCCATTATAAGCACTTCAAAAACAACTTGTATTATATTCTAGCCTTTGTTGTCGTTGAACGCAATATCTGTATTTTGAAAGTGTCTTCAGACTCATGAAAACTTTCAAAAGTCAAAGGCCTCGGGGTCTAAGACACAAGACAAACACCCAAAACAGAAAACTTTGTTTTGAAAGAGACAGTAAACTCTTCAAGTCTATCTTCCCGAAAAAGAATTTAGCAATAACTTGCTCACTTCGGTTCAAAAGATCCGTTATTGCTTTTTTTTTCTTTTTTTTTTACCACTTATTCAGTGTTCGTAGAAGCCAGACGTATTACAAAGTGACCAAAAGGTGAAAGCGTGTGGACTGACAGCTAACTCAATAACTGGCCAGTTTCAATATGAGCTCATCTTGTATCATCAGTGCAACATGGACTTGAAGCTGCCAGAGAAGCTGACATGCAGCACGGCTCCGTGGTGTCACGAGCGGCTCAGGAATTGATGTGTTTATGAGTATGAGAAAGTCAAGTCTGCATCTGGATCTCATATGTCATACATGACAACGGCAGAGAGACGCCGCCTGTACCTTAATCTTCTGAAGGATTTTTTTTTTTAATGAGAAGCTGCCAACAAGCATGCAGCAAGAGCACTCGCCCAGACGTGATCCATCTGTATTAGCTCACTTTTGCCGTCTGATGTGTTCAATGCCGCGCTCATGCTTTTGCACATGTATAATGTAGACATACAGAGTTCATTCTGCTGGTCCAGTCATACAAATCCCCATTCTTAAATAGCCATGGGCAATTGTACTGCATGTATTATTTACAGCAACAGTTCAGGTTATGAAAACGTCTTGTGTGTAGTTTTGTTCTATTTTCATGTGATATTTTACTATAAATATTTATACTATTGGTTTGTCTAAATACTGTTATGATGTGTAAATGATCATTGAAGTAAGTTCTTCTTCGCTCCTGTGTCTCTTGTCTGAATAGGAGCTAATAACTGATGGTAAAAACTGGAGTCTTATTTTAAATTAGGGATTATTATAAGGTACCAATGCTGACCACAGGGGCAGATACTGCTCAGTTATTACATTTTGCCATGGGTCATTTTATTATTATCAACTGATTTCACTTCTGAATCAATGACTTAATGTTTTTGATATTATTGGAAATAAATAAATAAATATCAGGAAATGGAAATAAATATCTCCACAGTATGTTCATTTCATAATTCATTTTGTTTTGTCTTTAGCCGACACTCAGCATCAGCAGTGTTCTCAGTGTTCCATTGAACAGAAATTCTGTGTAAAGTTTTACTGACAGTAGCTTTAAGAAGATCCAAAACTGGTTTTACCTCCAGTTTGCTGCACTGCAACCGAATCTGACACAAATCAGCGCACATACACTATGACTTCTGCTGCATTCAGACGTATAATGATTATTCAGGCAGAAAGTTAGAACAATGTTTTTGTTTTACATAGAGCACAGCCTCTGTCAGGGTAAGGGAAAAAAAATACTTTTCTGGTTTCTTGACACTCAGACACAGATTTTTGCTCAAGCTTGAAGCTACTTACTATGGAAAGGAGCTACGGTGTGGAACAGATAGGAAGAGTGGTGACGAGGCCTACCTGTTCGGATGATGTGGTTGTCTGGTCGGGATGAGAAACAAATGTAGGGAGAGTCTGTTAGACTGTCAGCATTTCTGTGACTGTCCCTCTGCCTGCTGGAACAAGATGGACACAAATACAAATGTTTTAACTGATGTTCCTCCATTTTTAAAGTCATTCAGCCATGAAAATGTGATGCCCCGATCACATAGGTCAAAGCTAAACAGCCGGAGCTGTCGTGGGGAAACATCGGTCACGCAGCGAGCGCAGACTCTTGAGCAGGCGCTGCAGGGGCAGCATGGCAGCGGCAGATTTCCCAGGGGGCTCAGCTCTGGTCATTGACCTTTGCAGAGGTTTGTCAATATTAAGCAGTGATTACTTTGCGTCAATATAAGGTTAAGTCTGATAGAAAGGTATGACAGGTGGGTAAAGAGGACACATCTAGACATTTAATTGCAGCAGGAAGACACATAAGGTGAGTGTCCTTCCTGTCTCCATCAATACATCCCAGGAGCTCTGGAGTAGTCTGTCGATATGTCCGTCTACTTATATAGTTTGTTCATCACTACAGAAATACTGTTATTTTCAAGAGGAACTTAGCACTAAAGCTAGTCCTGCAAAACTGTTCAGTTGTAACTTTTACAACAGCAACATCTGAAATGACGCCATGTAAAACAAAATCGTCTTTAATAGTAACAGCAACAACAGCAACCGTCAAACACAGGGAGTCAAAAATACTTACAATCAAAATACAAAATCCACAGCAGGAGGGGCAGGAATGAGGAGGAACAGCTAATCCAACAATGAGTCCAGACAAACACAACACAGCAGCCCCAGACACCGAGGGAGCAGTGGAACAGGGGCAACTCATCAAACACAGGTGAAACACATCAGGCCAATCAGGAAGGACAGGAAGTAGAATATAATATAAGCAGCACCAGGAGACAACGTTTCAAAATAAAACAGGAAACACGTTTGTCATGTGAGACAAACATTGAGCAAATGAAAAAAAAAGAAAGAAAAAAAGCAAAGAAAGGCATGAATCACTGGAAAGGTATATAGGTTTAAAATATTACTTCAGCATTTAAATGAAGCACTCTTTTTTTTTTAATTCTGTTTTTTTTAATATTCCTAACTAAAACATCACTTTATTTTTTTTATTTACTTTAATGACTTTGGGTTTTGGCTGCTGCATTATTTCATAGTTATACGTTATGAAGCCATTGAAAACTAATTAGCTGGCTCAGGGGGGCTGAAGGTTTGCAGGTATTTTAGAGTTCCAACCCTAAAAGAGCAGTCAAAGTGTCAAAACTTCAGTAAAGTTTGCAATGTTTAAGATTAAAAACAAGATTTCGCCCACTCTTCACTTCCTTAATGACAAATCTGTCGACCGTGCATGAGAAATGGACGTCTCTATTCACTTCCCAAATTATAGTTGCACGGGGAAGACCCGGGAAAAAGGCAGGAAATGCTCCAATGGTTTTGAAATGGGGGAATAGGCTCTACTTTCCGTTCAATTTATGGCCTCCATAAAGATTTTCTTGACGAGTTAATGGTCTCAATCACTAGTTTTAGGTCCTCAATAAAATGGGGTTTTGTAAATTATGATCCCATTTAGAGGAAAATACCTTCTTCCTTCTTGTAAATGGGTATAAAACATCCAAAATTGAGACAAGCAATAAGGAAAACATTTACTGATGGTAAAAACTATGGGAGACCTCGATACACACAGACACACACTTCTAATTATAAAGAGTTGCTCCAAAACCTGGCTCCAGTCACGACTACGTATGTTATTTTACATGGTTCCTTCAGCCGAAATATGTATAAAGAATTGTGAAAAAGAAATAAAAGCCCAGGTGTGTGAAGGCAGGAAATGGTAATTGACAAATGGAAACCGAGGCAGAAGGAAAGTCTCGGCCATTATCAAAGTGTGTCAGGACAAATAGGACGCGTCAGACCATCACAGTCACAGAAATCAATGGGAAACATTGTGAACGTGCTCAAGTGTTCCGTGAGAGGCTGAAGCTTTTCCCAGCAAAAAAAAAACTAATGTTAAAAGGTCAAAGTAAGAACTCTGCACATACTGTCACCAAACCAGGCTTTTATTCCCAAATGTCAAGTGTGACAGCGAACACTTCGGCCCATGTGATATGCATTTACGGCTTATTGGTGTGGACGGAGACACCTGTGGTGGAGCCTGAGACGCTCTTTTGTCTGAAACAAGAGCACTAGAGGAATGAGCATGAGTTAAGAGTATGATAATATAAGGGTGCATTCAGACAAAATACGTTGTTAGCAGTGAGTAAAGAGTGATGATGCAGCTGGAGACTGAAACAGGCCAAGAAACTGCAGATGATTCCAGAGTTCATTTTGTTTTTGACAGAAGTGAAAATTGTCAAAGCTGTTTGAGGTGTTTGTTTAACGTCTCAATACCAGACGCTTTTGAAATCATACCATTCATCATCACCATTAGAACCTTATCGGTACTGTCCACTATTTCAATGGTCAATCTTCTGACCAGCTCCAGTCTAAACCCATCCATCCTGGTTTCCTGCCATGGAAATCTCAGGTTCTCTAACTGTTCCTGTCTTCAAACATCATACTTTTGCTTTTCTGATTCACTCGTCTCCACCCACTCCAGCCAGACTGTACTCTGGATTTCAAACTAATCCACCCATACTACCCACAGGTATTCTGCCCTGCTCACATTGACATTCAGGCTTTTTCTCTTAAGCATAGACCTCCACCTTTTTAAACCAGCTTCCGCCCACCTCCTACCTACTCTCAGTCAGATTACAATGTCATCTGGGGACATCTTGGTCCACGGAGGCTCCTACCTCACTCCATCTGTCAAGCTGTCCATCACTTTTGCAAACAAGAAGGGTCTCGGAGCGGATCCCTGATGTAACCCTGATGTAAGGTGTGCTGTCAAAACCCAGTGTTTTGACTGATAAACAAATGATAAAATAAGTATTGGTTGATTCCTGTGGCGAAAATGTTTTTGTTATATAAGCACAAATGTTGAACTTGACGCAGAGAGATTCCAGTTTCAATGGTAACACAGTTGATCCCCATCGCAGGCTGAATGAAATCAAACGGCCGTGCAGAGTTTTTCATGTTACATGTCGAGAACGCAAACGTGCAACAAACACAACGAGGCAACTGTCAATACTCAACAAGCTCAACAATTACCTTGCCAGAGGCTGCACCAGCTGGATTACCATATTTAAAGGAGAGTTCCTCCTGACTACATAGATAATAATGGTGGGCCTAAAATAGCGTTTTCCTTTGCGTTTTCATACATGCACATGCACCAGTCGGTGAATGCTTGGACAACATTCATCAAGAATTCTTAATGCTGACAGGTGGAGTGTAAATCCACCTGTGTGTTTAGCAAAATAGTTAGAAGTTGGCTGATTGTCAAAACACAGAGATTAAAAAAAAAGAAACTTAACAGGTGGAAAATGAAAATGTGACTTTAGAAAGAAAGAAAGAAATCCATTACATAAAGCAGCTGAATATCAGTCACAAAATAAAAAAAAATATATTATTATAATAACCTAATAGCTTCATTTTTAATTTAAGCTTTTAAAAAGATTTTGATTGGAAAATGGATAAATACATTTGAAAAACATTTAGGTTCATTAAAACAGTATCACATTTTGCCTGAGGCACAAACTGATCTTTTTTGTAGCGTAGCGTAAATTGCATGTATTCTATTACTGTGTGCATCTAATGCCATGTCATATTTAGTAGTGTTACTAGATCCACGGCACAAAGTACGTGTTATGAAATAAAATATTTATCTAAATTAAATTAACTGTAACTGTAGTGTAAATTTCCAGAAATGCTACTTAAAAATGTACCTAAACTGCTACTGTATTTACGGTGCAAAAAAAAAAAAATGCATTCAAGGTATTGATTGACCTTAGAAAAGTTAGAAATAATTCCCCTGTGTGGCAGTTTCACAACGAAAAGATAAGATCAGGTATAAAAGGAGCATTCACCAAGGGCTGGAAATTTCTCAGCTAGGATATTTTTTTAATGACTTGTACGTAGTTCTACGCTAAGTATGACAGCATAGAGATTTAAATCCTAGAATTCTCCTCCACACTGAGTCACCAGTGCAGTACTTGAGGAACAGAATGTGTGTCGGACTTGACAATTACGGTCATTTCTGACAGCATGGAGAAGCAGAACAACACTGCAGTAGGTCTGCACTTGCCCAGAGATAAGACCTGTAGCTTCGCTGTCTGACAGTATTGCAGTACATAAGTCACTTTAGTAGTACTGTGCATTTTGGGACAGGCCTGACAAATGGGCACATAGTAACAGCATGTACAGACCAGGTATGAGCTGCAGAGTGGATCTCCTTCTATGACATGATGGTCGGAGACAACCTCCATGAGGTGACAACCACAATTGGCATGTGTGTGTGTGTGCGTGTGCGTGCGTAGACATGTGCAAGTGTGTGTGGTGATGTGTCCAAGCCCGGATGGTAATTGTCAGGGTTTGGCAGGGCAATCAGTTCCATGCCACTGGGTGCCACGTCTCGACATGTTCTATTGCAACTCTCAATACACACACACTCCAACACACACTCGAGACGCCTGACCCCTCACACCTGTTCACTGGTGTGAGACGGAAGTAAAGATCCTGTTACCCACCGCCTGGACTCAGAGGAAAAGAGGAACAACCTCAGATGACACACACACACACACAAATACACACTCTTTTCACGGAGAATTCTGTAAGTTCAATTTCTGAAACATAAATCAAATTAGTTTATCACATCTGTCAGTCTTTTCTGTGTCCAACCCTTCACTGTGGGGACTTTAGAAATGTCAACGTACAGATTCTTATTTCTCACTGTACGTCCTGTTACCACACGTTATTCTACGGATTGATTGGTTTTGTAAGTTATTTCTTTCTTCTATTGCAGTGAACATCAACTGGGGGCCCACGGGCCGGACCCAGCCCGCCAAACTGTCCATATATAGACAAACCAAGGCGGTCCATGTGTCTGTATCTAAACTGCTTAAAGACAAGCCTTACTTCCACTCTCGGGACCTGTCTCAATCAAAGGCTAAAATCAAATAAATTTACATTTTTTTTCAATAAAATTCCTAATAATTTCAACAGGGTTCCATTCAAGTTTGGTTTAAAAGTTGACCTTTGCTCTGATTTCAACAACAAACTTCAAATAAAACCTAAGTGACTAAATGCTTGACAAAGAAACATCACAAAGTTTGACAAAGCCTTTTTACTAACCCTTACAAACTTTTGGATGTGATGACATCTGTCCTAGAACTTATTGACTCAGCCTTGTCTGATAACATACTGCTAGTGTCCACCCTAGATAGAATTCAGAGAGACATTAGTGGGAGAAGAGACTAAGAAATGTATAATCATCAGTGACAGCGGGAGTTCAACAAATATGTTCTTATTGTCCACAGTTTGTTTTGTTTTGTTTTTGTTGTTGTTGTTGTTGTTGAGGGTTGTATTTTTGTGACCTTGTTTCCAGTAAAAGGAGGAGCCGGTGACCAGCAGTGGAGTCCCTCTCCTGTCCAGCTCCACCACTGTTATTTAACCAGAGTGGCTTCACTTTAGAAAATAAGATGCTAGTTACACACTTTCTCCAAACACGCACTCCTCCCCTCTTTAACAAGAGTTACAGTTCAACACAGGACACAACAATGACTCGGACTTGTGATTAAGTTCAGAATCATCACTCAACCTGGAGTCCGCACGCCGTTGACAGCAAATGAACTGCTGTTTGCTGAATTGTGGCTGACCTTTGGTGACAGAGGCAGCCGTCGTTAAACTAACGACTATAAACACCGGCAGCGATGTCGCCTCGGCGCTGAAACACTGTCGCCGCGGCGTGTTTGTGTATGTGTTATATTATTCATATTCACCCACACACTGTGGCAGTGTGACAGTAAAGATGTATTTCAGCGCATCAAAAAACATGATGGTATACACATGGTGGCGTGTGTGTGTGTGTGTGAGAGACAGAGAGTGAGACACAGTTACAACCCTGAGCAGATGCTTGTAACAACAAGCAGAAACACTGTAATCTTGCATCTGATATGTCGGCTGCTCACAGCACACGCATGTACCGTCAGCTGTCGTTGAATAAACCGATCAAAGCCGTTGTTAAAAACCGATTCAAACCATTTCATCTCCCAAAGAGGTGATGATGAAAAAGATGCAGCTTCTCTTCCTCGCCACTGACACCTGTGATGGATTTAGTGTCTCCAAATCAATCATGTGTACAGTATACCTGTCATACATTGAGAGCTTGCTGCCCTTTTTTTTTCTCACCATTTATTTACTGGCGCCACTGCTCAGCTGTAGAGGAATGAAGAAGAAGAAGAAGGCGTTGAGGAGGAAGCAGAAAGATCAGACTTCAGCTCAGTGGAAAGAAAAGTGTTTGGTTGTTTCGTTTTTTTGGTTGAAATGTCACAAAAGTCCAGGAAGTGAAGTTCCGCTCCAACAGCCCTTCACAACTTAGAGACACATCGAAGGCAGCGACTGACTTTTACCAATTGAGAAGGTGGTGAATGTTTTCACCCAACATTAAAAAATA